ACTTGAAAATAAAATTTAATTAGTATATGCCCAATTATGCGCGAATTCGATTTCCGGGCGCTCGAAATAAAAATTATATTCGGGATCGACATTCCGGTGTCAACAGCGAAATATCCCAAGCGGTAGGGAGATATCAAGTTCCGACGGAGCTATAGACGAGAAGCAGAAAACGAAACCGAAAGACTGCATCCGAAGTAGAAACACCCGAACCTAAGATGAAAAACGGATGCTAAGGGTGAAAATCGTTATCCGGAACGATAATACTGACGACGTAGGACTGAACGCGACTACGAAAAACCGGTTCCGAATACGAAAAACCGAAGTAGAAGCGAGAATACCGAAATACAATTCGAGTGTACAACCCCGGACACGAATGCGTATATACCCGTTAACGCATGTAAATAGTTAAAGTCGGACGGATTTTTTATCATAAAGAACGGATCCGGAGTGAATATATCAATCCCAGCTTCAAAAACCGAAAACGAACAAAAACGGATGAGAAAGATCGAAACCGGACGTGAAAATTTAATTCCGGCAGTGAAAGCCCGTAGTAGACCGATTCCGAAAGCAAAATATCGAATCCGAGCGAAAAATTAACGATACCGAAATCAAAAACGCGAAACCGAAGAATAACGGCCAAAATCGGCTGCGATTACCCGAAACGGTAGCAAAGAATGGTGATTCGATAAAGAGAAACTCCATCCGAAGAGTAAAAACCTCTACCGAAGGCAGAAGAATGAAATTCGCATAGAAAACCGTAAAACCGAACCCCAGGGCTGAAAAACGATATTCAGGGGCGCTCACTCGGAGTAACTCCCCCAGCGTCAGCGCGATCCGCTCCCGACGGTCGCTGGGAGCGGAATAGTTACATACAGACAATGTAACATGTGTAGGTAATAATTTGACATAGTATTTCCTCTTAATAAATTATCTATGTAAACTTAACTGGCTCGGACGTGCGGTCTCTGCTACGTCCTACAGAAGGCCAACGCCTGTTTTCAATTCTCGAGTTCGTAGACTGTCCTCGTAGACGGTCCAACTCTTATCCCGATACCTTAGCTCGGTTTATAAACATCTGTGTTAAGACCCAGGGATAGAAGCTAGAAATGCGTCTCTTTGACGTGGCCCTACAGCCAAGGCCAACAAACACATAAATGTAATGTAAAAGGGACGCATCCCTGAGCAATACCGTTAGGCCCATAAGGTAATTACTAATATTGCTTTATGGGCCTGATTTGTCCGAAGGCTACCTATTGGTCTTAACATGAATGAAGTCAATAATATAAAAAGGGCCAACAAAAACTTCTACAAGAACCAGTAACTCCCAAACACCTATTCCCCCGACCAATCTTCCCCGCAATCATATCCCTCCTTACCTAACACCGCCAAAACTACATCAAAAACTCTCAGCCCCATAAACACTCCGCTGCCACCAGACACACGAAATAGACGACACTCCTACGCCAACGCACTAACGAGGCAAACACCTCCACAAGAACACCCAAGCACAAACACAAACTTCAACAGCCCCATAGAAAACGCCCTCGATGAAATCAAACACTCTGATTTAGACACTTTTCTAAGAATTCTAGAACTCGTATAAAAGCACTATACCAATGCATCTCTAACATCAAAAGAGTCAGGGCTACAATCCTTATTGTCAAGGAAGCTGGATACTAATCATATACTTAACCTCATGCTATGGAATGCTACAAGCATCCAAAACAAGAAACACTAATTGCAAAGATTTCTCCACAACCACAAATAGACATTGCGATCATCACCGAAACTTGACTTGGAGCCAACGACAAACTCCACTTCCCTCAATACAACGTACGAAGGAAAGACTTCCGCCCCAAGTGAACTCCGGCGAGGAGGAGTCCTGATAGCCACTTACAACATCCCGTCCGAGGACTACATCTAGATCTCTCCTGTGGAAACCCTAACAATTAAAACCAAAACCAAAACAACACCTCTCCTGGTTATTACCGCAGTATACGTTCCTCCCAGATACAGGATCGCCGCAGAATATCTAAACCAGGTTACCCATAAAAATAAACATGTAACATACATTACTGGGGGCGACTTCAACACTAAACACCAGCTCTAGAATAACTCTACCAGGAACACCAATGGAGTCGCCCTAAAAAATCACCTTCTTGCAGGCCAATATCAGATCCTTCACTCCCGCACCTATACATATAGACAACCTCAAAACGATATAAATAGACGACCTATCTTCGAATCACCTCCCAGTAATTCTAACCATTCACACCAATCAAAACCTGAAGAAAAAACGGAATACACAGACTGGAAACTATACAGAAAAATTTGCAACACATTTCCGCTAAACCAACACATCAGTAATCAAGAGGACATAGACAAACAGATTAACACGCTCCAGAAGAACATACACTACGCCGACTACAATGCCTCCCGACTCACCAAAACCACAAACAAAACAGGGTACATTGATCCACATTTGCAAATAACGAACCGCAACAGATACAGAAGAAAATACCAGAAGACAGGGTACCCGCTACACAGAAAGCTACAGAGAAACATCTTAACAACACTCATACAAAAAAGAATCAAAATCATCCGAAACAATATCTGGAAAAACCGCCTAGAAAAAATAGAGAAACCAGATCACACACTATGGCAGACGTACAAGATGACAGGACTGAAAACCCCTCCCATGCCTCTGCTAAATGAATTTGCAGATAACTCCATACACTACACGGACTTAGATAAAGCAAATGCCCTTGCCTCATACTTCGCCAATACACACAACGACAAGTCACAATCCAATCCTGCAAACAATCCGATTGACCAGTCCTCGCCACCAACAAGGGAAATACTTCCACTCTCCACAACGCATATCACGATAACCCCCCACATCATACACAAAATAATCACAAAGCTACCAAACAGCAAACCCCCGGTCCAGACAAGATCACAAACGTCGAATTAAAAAATCTTCCTAAAAAAGTCATGGTGCAAATGTATTACATCCTCAAAGCGTGTCTCTAACCATCATACTTCCCCAAAACTTGAAAGCTAGCCAAAATTCATCCGGTACCCAAACCAACCACAGAAACCATCAGCTACAGGCCCATCAGCCTATTAAACACACTAAGCAAAGTACTAGAAAAAATCATTCACCACCATCTTCTCAAGCATCTTAACAATATAATCATACCACAGCAATTCGGATTCCGTAAAAAGCACTCGTGTATTAATCAACTACAAAGAGTTACAGAGTACGCCACAATAGAACTAAACAAAAATAGCACAACTGATACTCGACCTCGAGAAAGCGTTCGACACGGTTTGGCATGAAGTCCTGCTGTAAACTACGAAAAATCAGAACTCTCACCTCAATCACCAACATCATCAAAAACTACTTACAAGACAGACAATTCTATGTATCAGTACAAGGAACCAAATCAGAAACACACACCATCAAGGCCGGAGTACCGCAGAGCTCCATACTCGGACCAACGCTTTTCTGTATATACATTAACAACATTCCCACCACCACTAACACCTAAACCGCCATATATGTGGACGATACTGTCATATACGCGTCATCATGGAACCCGACACAGGCAACGAAGTATTTATAAACCCATATCAACGCCATACTGGAATACATGAAAAATTGGAGACTAAGAATTAACTCAAAAAAGACTCGGGCCATCACTTTTTCCCGCTAGTCACAGATAAAGTGCTGATCGATGAACACTCCATACCATGGACTAATACGGCCAATTACCTAGGAATAACACTAGACAATAAACTCATATGGGCAAAAGCCATAGAAAAAGAACTATTCTCGCCTATCTAGCACTATCCAGGATATATCCTCTCATAGCCCGAAATAGCAAACTCAACAAGAAAAACGTTAAAATCTTACCTAACATGCATAAGACGAATAATTACTTATGGATATCAAGTCTGGGCCTTTACTGCTAAAGCACACATCAACAAAATAGAAATCATACAAAACAAGACATTCCTTAGAATAATTCTCAATAAACAGAAGGACAAAATCGTAGCACAGCTCCATCAATTAGTCAACATCCCCACGATCAAGCAGTATATTCAAAACTCACTATCCGGAGCCTACAACAACTATCAAAACCCCCTCATCGAGGAAACAGGCAACTATCAAGTCGAAAACATATTATTCAAGTCAAGATCAAATTACTTAAACACACAATAACCTAATGAACAACCCGAACCAAAACCTTCAGATTCAAACCGTATCAAGGAATCTGCAGGTTATTTAATACTTTTCCTGCAAGCCTAACCTCACCTCATCATGCAAACAAACCACACACATATCCACAAACTAATATCAATCTTCATGCACTCCAAGCCCAAGGTACTGCAGACAAGACATACTAACTAATTAAAAAAAAAAAAAAAAAAGGAACAGGGTCTTTCTTTCAAGTACTTTCAACCTAATCAGGTCGCAAAGTTAGTTGCTCGTGCCACCATCTTGCCAGTGCATCACACTGATGTCGACAATTCGACAGCAGTCATTTTGTACACCGCTCTTGACTCTACTAGGAATCACGTGTTGTAAGCCTTATCCTCCAGGCTTATCAGACAACAACTCGGAGCAAGATAACGTGACATTCACTCTTTTCCCACAACAATGGGTGATCCTTGAGTCCTTCGCGCCAAAAGCATAGGAACAGGATCGACAACAGTCGAGACTGCCCTTAACACCGAGACAGTATAATCATTTCGTAAGTGCGGATTCCACATTTGCACAAGAAAAAACGCTAACCAATGTAATTTCTAGACTGCAACTCGGGGAAAACAGACTAGAGTCAAATGACAATCTTGAAGAACAAGTAGCCTTTAAATCGATGCTCAGAAGATGTTTTAAATGTAACAGTTCTAACCATATAGCTAAAGACTGCAGGGCTAGATCATTTGAAGGTAACAGCTACACAGGAAATAAGGAACAACACGGAAATAAGAACCATTCTTTTAATGGTACAAAGAGAGCCACGTATCTAGAAATATGTAAAGGTGCGGAATATGCAAGAAGACAGATTATGGAGAAAAGGATTGCTATTTCAGAAGAAGAAACAACGCAGCAACAGAAAGACTCAATGAGAAAGTGTGTTTCCTTACAAATTTTATTCAATGTAACGGATGGGTCGTAGATTCGGGAGCCTCAAATCACATGGTGAACGACATCGAACGTCTAACTAATATGAAACCGACAAACTCAGAAATAGTGTTGGATGACAAACCCGGACAATATTGAATCAATGCAAACACTGAGTTAGTAACAGTCCACGTGAAAGTGGACTGTGAATAGTTAGTCATAAGAGCAAGATCCAGTAATTAGTCATGCTCCTTCCCTTTCCACTTGGAGACGATGATAACCAAAAACATATAAGGACATGCTTGGAAGAAGCAAGAAGCATTCTATTCTATTCTTTTCCTGAATAGTCCGACAATAGATCTTGTACTCGACCATGATTGCAACAAAGAATGAACCTCTCCAAAATTATAAGTATGTTAATTCTATTACCCAAAATCTAATAATAGCAACAACAAAACGATCTGTAGCAATGAAATGTGAGGCCATGTGAGACGTCGAGACCGACAAATATAAATTAAAAAATGTCTTGTTAGTTCCAGAACTCACAAAAAACTTACTCTCAGTAGATGCAGTTATCCAAAATGGAGGAGTAGTAAGGTGTACCGAAAATAAGGTGAAAGTACTTAAAAACAATGCAACGGTTATGGAAGGCTCAAGAGGAAAAGATGGATTGTATTTAACCCTACGAGTACCATGCCGGAGTCACTGGTGACTCGTCGTACCGCGTTGTTTTGAAAACGATTACGCACACAGTGAGAAGCTACATATTTGTGTGAGGCGAAAAATGACACCACCACAGCTCCGCAGAAACGTGACGCTCTATGCAACCCTGCCGAGAATTTCTAGATATCCTTGCATTCTCCCATTTTATGGCACTTTCTCTTGCCTTCTGAGACATGAGAAAAGGCTCGGTAGAAACAAAGCCAAACCTAGGAAAAAGGATCCTTGGTTGGCACCAAAATGTCACGTAGCAACGTTCAGTCAGTTTTTCATGAGAAGAGAAACAGCATCTCCCAGACTAGTGGTATCATACATGTAATATTTTTATAGTTAGTGAAATATCATCGTTGCACTGAAACACAATGTCTATCATCAAACAACGAATTTTCCTATGACGAATTTGAGAAAGATGTCCACAATGGCGAAGAAGCTTCGGATGGAGGAAGTGCATTAAACGATGCTGAGTCAGAGATTTCAGATTATGATTCTGATGAAGCAGATACGCTAGTAACCATTGAAGAGACAGTTTCAAATGATCAAAATGAATTTTCAGGACACTTCTCCTAAGAATGGCGTAAATATTCAACATCCTTCTCGTGTTCACTGACTAAAAATAGTGAACATGTGCATCCGATGGAAGAGTCTTTTCATTTATTTATTAATGAAAAACTTATGGACATCATCATCCAACACACCAATGAGAAGGCAAAGCAGAATATGCCACCAAATGAACAATGGAAACCAGTAGATCATGCAGATCTCAACGCATTCTTTGGATTTCTACTAATAATTGGTCGATTCAGAGAATCTCGTGAGAGTAAAAAAGATCTATGGAAAGTAGACGAAGAACTATCTCGGCACTTTAATGCAGCAATAATGTCGCGTAACCGTTTTACAGATATACGGTATGTTCGGTTTGATGATTCCGCCACTCGCGAAGAAAGAAAAGTAAAAGACAAGTGAGCACCGTTGAGAGAAGTAACAAACATTTTTTCACAAAATTGTAAGGATTGTTACGATGCGACAGAAGTTGGTTGTGTTGATGAACAACTGGTTACATTTCGCGGCAGATGTTCTTTCAGAATACATATGCCAAGCAAGCCCGGAAAATATGGGATAAAAATGTGGACGCTTTGCGATTCAAAAACTTATTACTGTTGTAATATGGATGTTTATCTAACGTCTATCTACAAAGATAACACGTTGTCAAACAGTTGATAAATTTTTGGAATAATTCAGGACGCTGTGTAACAACAAATAATTTCTTCACGGACATTAGTTTGGGGGAGGAATTACTGAAAAATAACATTTTTTTGGTTGACACAATGAGGAAAAATAGACGAGATTTAATAAAGTCACTAGAAATACAAAATCGCAAACAAAGAAGAAAATTACTCAGTCTAAGATACGCTATAAAAATAGCGTCAACACCGAATAACCCAACATACAACAACACTTTTGCCGGCAGATTAACGAACCATCACAACAGAAACTCAAGACTTCCGGCACCATTCCGTACAAGACTAAAAAAATATCCCAATACAACAGAAATCATCAATTCAACACCAATTATCGAATGCAACCACGGAAAAATAGCCCCATGGACATTAAAAACACCAAAAACAAACACCGACCTGGCTAAACACACAAAAAAAAAAAATGAAAAAAACAACATAGAACACAAACAGGATTTCCAGAAACTAAACAATACCTACAAGAACTACCACAAGATCTATACAGACGCTTCCAAAACTAAACACGGAGTAGGATTCGCACTTGTCACAGAAAACTTCACTAAAAAACAACGACTCTCCAAACACACATCCATCCTGACCGCTGAAGCATACGCGATACTTGAAGCACTACGGCACATCCAAGAAAACAAATATCAATCGGCGGTAATCTATACAGATTCCTTGACTTCAATAAACGCGATAACAAACACCAATAGGCATGAAGTCACACAAATGGTTCAGGAAACATACACCGAACTTACCACCATAAACAAATAATAATCACCTGGATCCCGTCACACCAAGGAATTGAAGGAAACGAAAAAGCCGACTCCTTAGCCAAAGAAGCAACAACAAACCGAACAAACGAAGCCAAACGACCAAAGCGGAAAGAGAAGAATGGAACAGAATTTGGACTACGGCAAATAGAACCAAAATACACGACGTAGCACACCATTTCTACCAAAAAATACCAAACAACAATATAAGTGGAAAAAAATGGATAGCTATGACTAGGCTTCGAATCGGACAATACTCCAAGGTCACACAATACCTCCTAAGCAAAACAGAACCACCTTTCTGCAACACCTGCAACCAACAAATCACCACCCAACACCTGCTACACGAATGCAGAAAATACCGAAATATAAGAAGTAAATACGGATTAAACGAAAACACCGCTCTAACCTACCAGAAACAACAAAAAAACGTTATCAACTACCTAAAGGAGATCCAACTACTAGATCAGTTATAAAGAGATAATTCCAACACGTCGCTAAAGACCTCGCAGTCGATGCGACTCTAAACCCCCATATAAAAAAAAATCACAAACAATACTCTTCAGAATTTTTATTCACAGAAAATTTAACTCTGGTTTGGGTTAGGTTTGGGTTTGGTTTGGATTAGGTTCCAAAGCCGCGAAAGTGTGTTATCAACATTACATTATGAGTATGATATATCCACAGCAGCCGAAAATTTTAAACCGACCATAATGAAGTATTATAATTCCACGAAAAGTGGAGTAGATGTGTTAGATAAACTAACAAGAGAGTATTCTTGCAGACGTTGCACCCACCGTTGGCTATTATTTTTACACTATATAGATATTGCCGCCTACAAGGCTTTTAATATATGGAAAACCAAATATCTGACATGGGAAAATGAAGATTTAGGACAAATCAGAAGAAAGATCTTTCTGCAACGATTAACCAAAAAACTGACCACCCAAAATGTAAATAGAAGAGCTATAGAATTTGAGAATCACAGCGCAGGACTACACAAAAATGCAATAGAAGCGACCAGAAGAAAAATTATAAGAAAACGAAAATTAGATAGTCAGAAGCGTGCTAGGTGCTGTTTCTGTATAGGAAGTAATAATAGATACTCGCCTATATGCGATTCATGCAAAAGAAATGTTTGTAATGCCCACTCAACAAAAATCCAAAAAATTATATGTAAGGAATGCAATACTTCGCAATACATATAATTTTTTTATAATTTACCAATCTATTATTTTTTTGTATACATACAGCGAAAATCCGAGCATAACTCGAAATCTATTAAATTGTATTATAGTAACGTCTAAAGCTTGTACAGTACTGGTGGGGGTCTCGAGTTTGAGCCGCTGTATGTGTAGTGAAGTATCGGTGTGAGTCAGCAGTAACTCCTGTATGGTTCTCTTTGCTACGGTACTCGGTGCAAACACTAAGTTAATAACAGTCCACATAAAAGTGGACTATGAATAGTTAGTCACAAGAGCAAGATCCAGTAGTTGGTCATCTATGCTCCTTCTCCTTCCACCTGGAAAAGATAATCAAAAACATACAAGGACATGCTTGGAAGAAGCAAGAAGCATTCTATTCTATTCTTTTCCTCAATAGTCCGACAATAGATCTTGTACTCGACCATGATTGCAACAGAATGAACCTTTCCAAAATTATAAGTATGTTAATTCCATTATCCAAAATCTAATAATAGCAACAGCAAAACGATCTGTAGCAATGAAATGTGAGGCCATGTGAGACGTCGAAACCGACAAATGTAAATTAAAAAATGTCTTGCTAGTTCCAGAACTCACAAAAAACTTACTCTCAGTAGATGCAGTTATCCAAAATGGAGGAGTAGTAAGGTGTACCGAAAATAAGGTGAAAGTACTTAAAAACAATGCAACAGTTATAGAAGACTTAAGAGGAAAATGAATTATATATAATAGATACAGTAAAATCAAGTAAAACAGGCCTCTTGGTAACAAAAGAAGATAAAAATGTAGTAAAAATAACAAAAGCTGTAATTAATACACAAAATAGAGTACAAAAAGATAGGACTCAAAAGAAATAGAAAACATACAAGCTCTAGAAAAGTTTGAAATCTTAACAACACCAGAGGAAAATAAAACATGGGTTGAGAATATATAAAACAAGAAAATTTTGAGCACAAAATGGATTTTCAAAGTAGAAGAAGATACTGAAGATCTGAAAAGGCAATTTACAGTGTTGGAGACAACTTACAGTGCTAGAGAAAATAGAATATGGCGATGTTGAAGAGCAATGTATAAAACACATGTATGCAGAATTATTAGAGAAATTGGAGAACGAACAGATTGAATCTAAAAGAAAATTGAACGAAGAAAAATAAAAATCGCAAGAGGCATTAAATGTAAGTAATCTCTCGAAAAAGAAATATTGGTAAATGAAAAGATACTTTTAGAGGAAAAGTTAAAAGAAACAGAAAAGACTTTAAAAGAACAAGAAGCAAAAGGAACAGTACACGTTAATAACGTTGCAGGGAGTTCTAAAAATTCCAGTTGTATATTTATAGAAATTATGAATGTTCCTTCACATTATCAAATTATAGAAGTCAAAGATAATATTAATCATATTGAGAATAGAGATATAAATACTGTTCGTAAGTAGCCTAGAAAAGGAAAATAAATCAACCAAATGCTCGATAGAAACACGTAAAGAAATAGATAGTTTTTTTTTTTTATTTGTTCCGTGTGTATAAGTCTAATTGTTCAGTTACAATTATTTTCACTTTTTTTAATATTATTCTTGTTTGAGATCGTGTGGATTTCGATACAGTTATCAGCAATCACTAGTTTTTTTTATGGGATTAGTTCCGTTTTATACATGTTTGGCTGTATTCCATCTGTTAGTTAGTAAGGTCTAGCGGGTGTTTCCTTTTCAGTCTTCTGGTTAATAGGGAGTAACAGTCTTTTACCAAGGGGTTTCTGTGATTTTTGATTTTTTGTTGATGTGTTCTTGCGCACTTTAGTATTTCCTCTTTAATGGTTGGTATTCCTAGGGTTTTTCTTATGTCATCGTTTCTGACATACCATTGAGCGTCTAGTATTGTACGTAGAATGATGGATTGTAGATTTTCTATCTTTTTTATGTTCGACTTGGCTGCCATGCACGAGATTTGTAGCCCGTATTGTGAGTGAATTAAATAAAATACACACTCTTAATTATGTTTAATATATATATATATATAAATTGAATAATGTACATAATAACTATCACTTACGAATTCACTTTCTCACAGATCAATATTACTTTTTAACTTAGACTCGCAATGAATACTCTCCTGCTCGCTTCTGAACAAAAACGCATCACGCAACACACTCGCAATTCTCACAACACTCATGCCTTCGCTCGACTCTCATGCATTCTCACACATACAACATAAAACCAAATCCACGTATGTCCAAATAGGTTTAATTATAATTTTGTAGATTAGTAGCTTATTTTTTACGCTTAGCTTAGAGTTTCTTGATGTTAGTCAGTACATGGATTTTCTAATTGTTTTTATTTGTTTGAAAATAGATAGTACACATAAAACTGAAACTTTTAAACGTAATCATAGTAATAATGTACATTATCAGGATAACCAATCAAAATCTAGTAGTACAAAAGCGAAAAACAAAGAAGTATGTAAAAGAATAATTAAAAAATGTAACTTCCGAAGTCGATACACACGATATAAAATCAGATAATGCTAGTTAAAATATGAAAGATACAAAAAGTGACGATTGTTCGTCACAAGGTACGAAATTGAACGAAATTGAAAGGTACGAAGAGATGAAGAAGAACACGAAAATAATGTTACATCAAAATAGACTGTTACATCAAAAATTGACACAAGAAAAAATAACAGATGCTTCCTCAAAAATTATCCGATCATACGACTGAAAATGTCAGAAGTGAAAGACATTGAAGTACTTCGTAACAAATAGAAATTTAACGAGAAACAACATTTATTTGTCAAAGTATAAAGAATATAATAGTATTATTGTATTATTTCGATTTCGGAATTTTATAAAAATTATTATTTTTTAGTTGACGTGAAATGTATTTTCGCAGTTTAATGAATTACATAAAAATCAAGAAGAATTATTATGCTGTAACTGATAAATATAATTATGTTAATACAATTTGTAATGAAGTTAACAATCAAGAACAATTTTAATATGAATGTTAAAATGAAAAATGATTTGACAGTGATATAAAGAAAATTGAAAATAATAAGTAAAATAATAATAATAAATATTTACGAATATAAATTTTATGTAATCTTTGCACATTTTACGTGTATGAATAACGTAATTTATTTATTAATTTAAGTAACTTTTACCTATGATATTATGTAGTTTTATTTGTTCCCATCATTCTGTCATAGTTTTTTTTTTTTTTTTTTTTTTTTTTTCATTTCAAATAAACTGATATTCCAAATGTACTTCCTCTATTTATTTGGATTGAATTATTTCTTAACTCGCCAAATCACATGTAAAAGCTCACTCTTAATCTAACTAAAATCACGTCGGTTCTTCGTTCATTGAAATTCTATTCAAATATGCTATAAAACTTGGTGCTCGACGATCGATACGCATGTCCTTATCGGTGACAAATAAGTACGGTCCAATAGACGGAGGATCGTTTACGATAAGTTCGCTCGCAAGTCATTCGTATTTATGCTTGAACGTGAGATAGCTAATTGATTTTGAAACAAGTCGCGATGCTAATAGTCATTGCGAATCAACGGATGATAGTAAAGTCAACGAACCACACCTATACCACGAATCCTGTTCGCGTTAATGAAGAAGTTCTCGAAGATACAGATACGTACACATGCATACACGCGCCTCATAACGATTAGTTTCGAATACGTTCGATTGCGTGCTTGGTCCGTTAACTTTAGTACCAGCGTTGGATATCTCTTTCTGATATTGATTTCTCTTCGTTGATATTGAAGCAAATGTTAATGGTATTTGATTATAATTGATATGTTCGATCGATTTGAAATGATTGGGACTCGTGGACAAACAGGTTCGCATCGATCGATAGTCGATTAAAAAGAAGAATATCTATTTTAAGTATCTAAGTTTCTATTTAGTACAGAGTTTTTATTTTCCGTATTTCCTGTTTAATAACTATTTTCCTTTTTTCTTCTTCTGCTTTTCGTTCTATAAGTATTTTCTGTCCAATAAGTATTTCTCTGTTCTAATACCTCGTAACTGTCATTGTGGAATGTATTATCGTATTTACGCGTGAAGTTTACACACACGTCGAGAATTCTTTGTCCCAAATTGCAACATTGTCTCAATATTTTTTAAGTATATTTAATCCTCCGCATACTGTGCTGGAGTCATTTTTGACCCAGTGTTGGGAGCCACTCGAATGCAATTACGTTACACATTAGGGGTGTACGGATAACCCGATGATTTCGGGTACCTGATTATTTCGGTTAGTCCGTCTATTTCGGATCGAGTTGGAAAAAATTCAAATGGGATATGATAGGGATTGTATTGCGTTATCGGAATCAATTGTTCATAATATTTAATATACATATATATTTTTCATTTCTCCAAATGTAATAATATTTACTCTAAATGATAATGTAAAAAAGATAATTGCTCAACATTTTGTGATATTAATTTTGCGAGTTGATATTATTATATTTCCGGATAAGGAAAATAGTCTTTCACTTGTAGTTGGAATAAATATTATTACATTTGAGGAAAAATATATATATATATATTTATTAAACATTATGAATAATTGACTTCGATAACGCAATATAATCCCTATCCTATCCAGAGTTAGGCATATTTTATTCGAACGAATAATGAATAAAATAGTGTCAAATTTATTCGTTGCTTACGAATAACGATTTTATTCGAAGAAAAATTATTCGAACACACAGTTGGGCATTATTCGAATAAAATTTTACTCAAAATATTTACTGAAATAATGTAAAGAAAAAGAGTCAGGAGTACATTTTTTTTTTTTCAATTTTGGTTTATTTAATAAATTTGCTTTGCTTTTAATATTTAATAAAGCGGAATCTACTTCAACCAACCATCATTTACAAATAAATGATAACGTAAAAATTCTTGTACTACAATTTTTTACAGATAATAGAAATGATTACATATCTTTGAATGAATATCCCATAATTAAAAATATATTTTTGATTATTTTATAACACTCTTTCGCCATCTTCTGCTCCAGTAGAGCGTTTGTTTTCATTTGCAATAATAACAAACTCGCCTAATGCAAAT